GTGATTTCGATACTCACTGGGTGACCCATACTTTCGGCCTTGTGCCACATCTAAGCCTCGCTTAGAAAATCACTATATGAAACTAGCGTAATCCAGTTTTGATCGAAGTACTGATGTGTATAACTCAATTAATTTTAGTCGATCTCCTTCCCATTCAGTATGGGTCATTACACAAAAGAGTTTTAGGGTTTTGCTACATTTTATTTATATTCAAATATTTTAGATGGGGGAGTGAACGTTAATTTTTTTTTTTATCAAAGATAATGCCTAGAAACTTGTGTTGTTCCACGACTGCGATTTCTGCTCCGTTTAATTTGAAACATGGATCATTGGGCAATTTTTTTAATTTGCAGAAATGTATGCATTTGGTTTTCGTTTTGGAAAACGTAAACCCATTTTCAGTGGCCCATTTGTGTATTTTATTGAAACATTGTTGGAATTGTCTTTTAACGCTATTCATATGTTGAGACCTGTATATAATTAGAAAATCATCGACATATAGAGAGTTTTTCACTACTAGGCTTAGAGTTTTTAACTATGGAGTTAATTTTTATGCAAAAAAGCGTCACTGAAAGAATGATTTCTTGTGGAACCCCTTCTTCTTGGTCTTGCAGTTCTGATAGCGTATTTCCTATACGGACTTGAAACCTCCAGTCTTTCAGGAAATTCCCTATGTATTGAATCAGTCTTACTTTTAGACCTAGTTCATGCAGAGCTTTCAAGATACCAAATTTCCATGTTGTATCGTATTCTCTTTCTAAGTCAAAGAAGACTGCCGTGGGATGTTCTTTCTTAATGAAGGATTTCCTTACAAAGGTTCCGTGGCGTATTAAGTGATCAATGGTACTTCGTTTTTTCCCTAAAAGCACATTCGTAGTCACTGATTAGGCCGTTAGTTTCCAGGTACCAAGTCAACCTGTTGTTGACCATTCTCTTCATAGTTTTACACAGGCAGCTCATTAGTGCTATCAGCCTGTAGTTTTCAAGGTCAGTGTCATCTTTTTCAGGTTTTGGAATAGGAATGATGAATGACTGTCTCCACATATCTTGGAAGTTACCACTTTTCCATATGTTGTTATACAAATTTAGTAACAGTTGTAATGATTTATTGGGTAACTCTTTTATGAATTGCTAGTGGATATCGTTAGCTTTTGTGTAAAGCTGTATTGTGGGTTTTCTTTAAATATTCATTTAATTCCTCTATAGTGAATAGTAGGTTATAACTATCAGCCTTATTTGATATAAAGTTTAATTTTTGTTTTTCTGCTTTTTGTTTTAGCTTCAGAAATTGTTGGCTACCTTTCTTCTTGGCAGATGAGTTTTTGGAGATTCTATTTTTTTTATTAGTTATTTTAAAGTTATTTATCGAGAGATGCTTTATAGTGTTAGAATGTTTACCATCTATTTTCATTATCATATCCGATATAGATTTTGTTTTTGTGGTAGAATTAAGTCTGCTGACGTAGTTTTTCTAATATTCTTTTTTGCTTCCTTTAATTATTTTCCGTGCGTTTTCTCCAAGTTGATTAAATTGTAACAAATTAGAGGTTGTAGGCTGTTTGTTGAAATCTCTCAAAGCTCTTCTGAGTCTGATGGCTTCCTTAGGCTCATTATTGAACCAAAGTCTATTACGTTTTTTTTTGTACTGGACATTTATGGAATGTATTCCTTTGCAACAGATAAAATGATTTCCTTGATGCATTGACCTTTAGCTTGTTTATCAAAACATTTGTTTTTAAATTCGTCCCAGTTAGCTCCGCCTAATTTTTAACGAAGATGATTTTTATCATTATGTTCTGAATTTTGCCGAACAATTGGAAAGTGATCACTAACGCATGTGTCCGCCTGAACTTTCCAAGAGAAATCCATATAGATTGATGGACCACATAGGAATAAAGTTATTACAGAGTAGCTGCTAGTAAATGGATTTATGTAAGTCGGAGTCTTATCCTTATAAATGCATAAATCATTGTTTATAATTGTTTTTAAAGTCTTTCCTTTTTAGTTTTTGTCTTTACAGCCCCCATATGGTACTGTGACAATTAAAGTTTCCCTAGAATCATAAAGGATGCAGGGAGTTGCCATATAATTCTATCAATTTCGGCTTCAGTTACGCGTTCATTAGGTGCGATATATATGGAGCAAATGTTTATTGGTCTATGTAGGGTCACTTTAACAGCAGTTGCCAGATAAAGTAGCTGTCAAATTTATTTTACTTTAGGGTGCATCATTCCTAACTAGGATAGATGTACCGTCAGATGAACGAAGCCCAGTGTCATATGGTTGTATTGCTGGTATTCTTTTATATTCACTTTGTCACCTTGCTTAAGGAATATTTCCTGAATGCAAGCAACTTCCGGTGACAGATCTGTTATAAACAGAAGCTTTTCATTTATATTTTCACGGCAGTTACATTGAATTATCTTATCAGGCTGTTTAAACGTTTTCGACCTTTAGCTTATGTGGTTTTGATTTCTTTTTCCTAGGTTTTCATTTTGAAGTTTTTAGCCATTTGAGGGTTTTGGTTTTCCACTTCCATCTTTTCTAGTTCGTCAAATCGGTTTTGCGTAGGAATTTCGTCGTTGTGGATTTTCGGTTTTTGTTTGTCTGATTCTGTTCTTTTGAGAGATAAACTTTTCAGTTTATTTTTTTCTGGGTTTTGGTGGACGGATAGGAGATCGCCGTGACCTTTGTTTAGTAGGAGATTTTGTATTTTTGGTGGGAGTGGTTTGTGTTTGAGCTGTCGTTTTGTTATTTGCTTTTTTTTCTTTATTATTTGAGTTTTTTTCAATGTCCTTCATTTGCAGTTTAGCCTCACCATTTCCTTAGAATATAGACTTTTTAGGTAAGTTTTAAATTTAGGCCAATCATTTAGTCCCAAGTGTACGAGCCTCTCAATGAGTGCTCTGTATTTGTTTGTATTGCTGACCTGCCTTATTTTTAGCTTAATTTTCCGTTATTTTTGCCTAGGAAGGGCTCTTCATGTAACTGTCTATCAATTGCCATTTCTTTTTCCAGAAATCATGTTTTTGAGTATGCTGGATGGCCTTTCTGGCAGTTAGCACACCTTATTTCATTGTGGTATTCTTCCTCAATGTCGTCTGAAACCCATTTGGCCCCATTTTCCACATGTTGGGCGACCCCTTCAGCTATCCAATGGTGTCCAAATTTTTGGCACCTAGAGCATCTTAGTAGAGCAGGGACATATTGTTCCATTGGCTTAATATTATACCCTATTTTTAATTTTTGGGCGACTTCAGGTGTGCCAAAAGTAAGGATATATCTGTCAGTTGTAATCGTTTCCACCCCTTCTTTTTGTTGAGGGGTTCTCCCCTTTTTACACAAATGGACGCACCCAGGGTATACATATATTACTGCTCGTGAATACCCGAGAGAAAGAACGAGAACGAACGAGAGCGTACGAACGTAGCGAGCAAGAGTCACAGTGAGCATGCGCGTAGACTCAGTAAGAAGTCATACAGCGATACGTCGATACCAAAGACTTTATATATATATTTTGCTACTAACCCGCATTCCTGGAACTACTAACCTGCATTACCAGTTTGTATTACTACGTTAATACATTTATTTTCCTATATTCATTCTTGGCGTTTGTTATTTATTGCTACCGGATTTCAACCCAGAATCCACAACACTTTTAATTGAGATTCTATGGTAATCGCTGACCTTTTGGCTTCCTAAGGCAGATGTAATTTTCTCAGGTATAGCTAGAGACAACTCTTTACTTCTAATAACTGCCTTAGAAGTATTCAGTCTTGCATAAGGCAAGGTTTTAATTTTAATATTATGAAAGGTCTTTATTATATTTTCTGTGTGTTTCCTATATTCCACCTCAACCAGGAAATTGCCATCTCTCAACTATCTAATTGTTTTAAGGATAATCCCACTAGATAGTACCTTTTCAATTAAGAAAGGGGAAAGTTTTACTAGCGGAGTTTCTTCTAGGTACATGTGCACAATAAATCTTAGAAATTGCATATTAATTTCTTCTTCAGAATCAGTGTCTGAAAGACATCCCTTGGGCTTTTTATTTTGATTATTCGTAATTCTTGTGTATTAAGTTTCACTGCCACCCACTTCGGGGCCCGTCATTGGGATGTGTCAAGGGGGAAGCTAAGTCGCCTTGACAAGTTAGGATTACACAAACCAGTATACTGGTATTCGAGAGAGATTCTGAGCATCTGTTAAATCATTTGTCACCCTTCCGAAATAAGTACAAGTTGGCGTCTTCATAGCCATGTCTAAGTCTAGATCTCTTCAAATCGATTGACCCTCAGTCCTCTCCTTCTAACGGCTCTAAATTGGATAGAGATGGTATTTTATCCCGCTGTATATTTGGGGTATTGTATTTAGTTATAAAGTACTCCATAAATTGATATAGTTATAGGCATTAGAACTTGTCGTGATGAGCTATTTGATTGGATCAGGCCTCTCCAACCGCCCGTCAAGTCTAAATAAGGGCCCAAGTGGTGTGTTGGGAATCAGAAGTAAATAACCCTGACTCTTGAAGCCCTTAACCACCAGGATCCTATCTCCAGACAGTACGTCGCAAACCACAACAATCGAGCCTCAGTGGAGGGGGGGGTCTTATCACTCTACAGAGGAGCAGTCGGTGAATTCTGAAGCACCAGCCTACAGTGAGGGTGAATTGATGGTGGGAGGGACGGCAGAAAGGCCAACATTACTAAGAGCAACAAGGAATAGGAAATTGTGGAGAGCTATGATTGCATGAACATAGCGCATAGAAGACGAAAATTATCCCAGTAAATAATTCGGATCATATGCCAGAACTGATGGATTGTTCAGTGACGGCCCGCATTTTTTTTCTGGCGGTAGGTGAGTCTGAACGCTCATCATCTTGAACCGATACTCGACCGGCCTTGAAATGCTCGTCCCACTCAAAAACCTGTGTTCAACCCAACAAAAAGATCGCAGAGATCTCTGCTGAATGAGTATAAGAAGTGGGAGTTTTTTTTTACCGTGATCAGAGACGATAATTAAGTTGACACATTTCTCCAAGTTCCTTTCTTTCATTCCGTCCATCAGTTGTCCCATGAATGCATCGATGCTTGTTAACGCATTCTCCACCTGCAAAAGGAACCACAAATACCCTATAAATATTTCATGGGTTGAATAAAACATAAGTAGACGATCGATATGTATTGACAACTTTCGGATTGCAAAAACAAAAAAAAAAAAAAAATGATTGATCACATCAGCTGCAAATATTACAATAATTACCTTTTTTTTACTGAGTCACTTTCCCCGTATGTACACAGAGATACGCGCACACATACGTACACGTATCAACACACATTGTGTTAATTATCCAGACGTATCCACACACACGTGTCCACACTCACTGTATTGAATATTTAGACTTATCCACATACACGTGTCCTCACATGTTATATATTTAGAAGGCTTAGGGCACCTCGAGTTGGTGTAATGGTTAGCAAGCTTGTCTCGCTAGAACAATTACGAATGAGTAGTGAGTTCGATCCTCAATGGGTGCCCCTTACATTCGGCCTTGTGCCACATCCAAGCTACGCTTGAAAAATCACTATATTTAGAAGGCTTATTGTCCTCGTCTTTGCTGTTGTTATCAAAACGTTCTTCTTCGGTCTTCATCAGTCTTCATTCCGGTAACCTGCAAGGAATTTCGAACTGAACCCTTTAGTTAATCTATTGAGGTAGAATGTTGACGTTCCCTTGCCTATTCTGTCTAGGAATATCTAGTTACTGCTAGTGAGAGCGAATGAAACTTTACTAAGGAGAAGTGAGGAGAAAGGACAATAAAAGAAAAGGGTTCATAAAGAGAGAAGAAGATGATTGGCATTGTATTTATCTTTTGTAGAAATCGAAAGGCGAGAATTGCGAGAAAATAAACTATTAGAACAGAATAGATGGTTCAACAGTAAAATGATGGGACCTAATTGCCAATCTAGTAACATGCTTAAATTCATGCAGTTGAGGCACCAAGGAGGAAAGCTCATCGGAACATTTGCTATGAAAATATAGGGTGACCGCAAAAAACAGGAACTTTTTAACAATCCAATAAAACCAAGTGATGGAAGGAAAATATTTTATTCATAGTAATTGAAACCTTAAAACATGCTATTTAAGAAACAATGATGGAATTTTCATTTTTTTTTAAAATTACGTCCTGTAGATGGCGTCCTCCTGTACGAATGCATGCTTGAAATCTGCTGTTGAGATTCCTCATTGACTGCGGCAACATCTTAGCTGGGATACTGTGAATTTCATCTTGAATTCTAAATGGCGAAATGTTTACTTGCTCAAGGTCACTGTCTTGCAGTTTTGCCACTTGTTCATGTCTGGTAATATGCACTTCAAAAATTCCCGTTTTTTTTTTGGGGGGGGGTCACCCTGTATTTGTAGAAAAGACAGAAGTAAAGCAACGCATGTCAATGAGAAAGTGACTGAAGTTGAGATGCCAGGTAATAATGGTGGCCTGAAAGACTAGCTTATTAACTATTCCACTATTATTAGGCACTCAAATGGTCAGTACAAGATTTTTTTTACAAAACTTCTTATCATCACTAGTGTGCTCTAAGAATTGTAAAGAATTAAATCTTAAAACCATTTCTTTTTTTTTTAATCATTTCATCCCCAAGCAAAGTCATAATGCCACTAGAATGCATAAGGTTACTGGGAGTGAAAGAAAATGAGAAAACTTTAGTGAGGAGAAAGGACAATACAAGAACAGATGTCAGGAAGACAGGAGATGGCAATTGGTGTTGCATTTAAATTTTTGCAGAGTGTAGATGGCAGAGAAGCAAGAAATCAGAAGGGTGTTCCACAGGTAAAAGAAGAAACTTAGAATAGAACTTATAATTGCTTCTAGATAGTTCAACAGTAAAATGGTAAGACCTAGTTGCCAATCTAGTAACATGCTTAAATTCATGCAGTTGAAGCACCAAGGAGGAAAGTTCATTAGAACAATTGCCATAAAAATATTTGTAGAAAAGACAGAAGGAAGCCATGATTTATAACGATAAGTTTCGTGAACACATAATGAGGAAGGAGGGCTTGGGGAATCTGGCACTCACAGGACATACTGAAGTCAAAAGAGACATTTGGGGGCAGAGTACCACCTGACCAGCTTGTGTGAATGGATGGTTTGGTTTGGTTTATTTAGTCTTACAGCATATCAACCTCAGAAAAGGGACTGAAGTCAAGGTGCCAGGTTAGGATCGATTATATTGCAGTCTTTTCTTTGAATTTTGTCAAGAATCTGAAGATTTATAGTATATGATTACCAAACCAAATATAGCAGCAATATTCCCTGCACGGATGAATGGCAGATTTATAAATGTAGAAGATGGATTCGGATGAGAAAAACTTCCCCTGGCACGACACAGTAAACCAATTTTGCTAGCAGCAGACCTGGCAATTGATTCAATATCACTCCAGTTCATGTCAGTGGGGTTTTTTTTGCTTCTCGTTCCCTTATTAAATTGCTTTTAATTCGTGTGTTTTTTTTTATCGTTAATAAACACCGTAAATAATTGCAAAATAGTTAATGGCTTAAAGCGTTGGTTTGTAAATTCGGTGACAGCGAGTTCACTTCCTGGGCTGGGCAGTGTGTACTTGGACTCAGTAATAACGGGGCGAACAATAACTGATCAGTATTAAATAGGAACTAGAAGAGTTATCTCCCCTACACATGGACAGCATATCCCCGTAGATTAAATCAAGGGTCTTAGTTTATATTTAGTACTGCTCAGTTATTTCGCGAGAACTAAACGAGATATCTCTAGACATGGCTAGTGAAACGAGAATAGTGTACCCCTGTACAATAAATAAAGGGTTTCATTTCGGAAATCCCTGAATATTACCAGAATCAACATCTGTTGAAATCCTGTTGGCACAGCGGCCGAAATGTTGGGATAGCAACAACAAAGGTGAAGACAATAGTACGCAAGTACATAATGGCTCATAATAGTTATGTTATATTGTTAATAATTTTATTATAAAAATGCACGTGGAGGCACGATGGAGTAATGGATAGCGGCTCGGATTGAGGAATCGGAGAGCCGAGTTCGAATTCCAGTTGGATCCATTACATTACTTACGTTCATTGGGAAAGGTGTGAATGTTCTTCTTCTCTCCCCGCCCCAGAACGGGTTCTATATCCTTGAATGGCCGAAAAAAATAGCGGGAAAAATCTGCCCCGTCAGTCATGTATCGAAAGACACATGATTGCTTAAGGACATAACTGACTACCTGATAGAAATGCATCGAAAATCAAGAAAAAAAAAGGCGTTTTTATTGATTAGGAATTACTATAAGAATTATAAAATAGTTTTATTATAAATGATGCGACAGAAATACATTCCCACATTTTAAACTGTCATCTGTGTGATTCTCGTGAACATAGGCAAGTAGCAATGTTATCTTTATCTAGCTAATGTCATACCATTTGTTTTCAGATACAGCCAATTACCATCATGACTTGGATCGGTGTACACCGTGCATTTGCTGTTGAAACGTTTTTTTTTTTTTTTTTTAATTGGAACACAGAGATTTTTTCGTGTTCATTTCATGTTACATCGGAATGATGCTATTCTGGGTAACAAATCGATACTGCTGTAGGTTGAAAATGTCAAGGCTACAGGTTCCGCTCTTAAAAGAAAGACACTAGGAAGACCTTGATCTTCCGGGTGATGGAAAACTTTAGAAATTGTCTACAACAGTGTATGGTTAACAGAAGTTACCATTTAGGGGATGTTATTAAAAAAAAAACAACAAATGAATAAAAACGGTAGCCTTTTGTTTAGACAAGAGTGAAATATTTTTTAATAACAATTACGTTGGTCAAGCGTTAAAATAATATGACAGGTATTTCGGCCGTACCCTTTATTTATAGATTATTATTTATTATTTATTGTTAATGGTATTGGAATCCAAGGTAAATGATTTTGTTATAGAAATATGTGATTGAACGAAAAGAAATAGGTTAGCCAGAAAATTGTTTTTTCATAAACTATAATCATAAATCTGAATGGCATCAGCGGAATTTTTTTAAATTAATTATGAAGACAGCTTCAGATTAGCCTTACTAATTTTGCTTTTTGCCGATGAATTAATGTTTTATTTAGGACCCATTTCCGACGCTATTTCGTTTGGAAGTTGATATTTCCGATATGGTTACAGAAAACAGAATAAATTTCCTTTCTTTAAAATCGTTTTCTTCTTCTATGTCTGGTGTCCCTTCGGGAAGTTGTTGATAATAGCTCTCCACGATTTCTTGTCCTTTGTAATACTTAATTAATGTTATTTTCATGTTATCTCCCCTAAACCATATTCCGCCATCTGTGTTGGAATTTTTGGGTAGTTTTTAGTACTAGTGAGCTGGCCAAAATGAGCTGACTCATTTTATAGTTCACCAATAGAAGGGTTAACCAATCAAAAAGCTCAAAATATTCAATGCGACGTGTATAAAGGCAGCCATTTTGTTTTTTCTCCCAAAATATCTTCACTGTCAACCTGATATCGAAGACTTAAAGAATTAACACTGCCAATCTCTGATAATGAAGAGATTACGGACTTCACTGGATTCCATATTCAGAGACTACTGTAAACATGGTCAACACCATCCATTTACTCAAGCTCATTTGCTAGCTTATGCATTGCGTTTCTCTTTTCCATTTGCCTTCAATATGTCTGGTGAATATCAAATTTTTCTAAGTCTCCTTTCGTCATTATGTATCCTAGAAATTTAAACTGTCTCTTTCTGATATTTATTTTAAGCGTCCTTTTTTGTTTCCATTTTGTCTAAAACTTCGTCGCTGTTCACATATTCAGTCCATGGTATTCTCAGCTCCTTCTATAGAACCACATTTCTTTTGCTAGAAATCTCTTCATCTGTGAGGACATTGTTCAGCATTCCCCGATATAGAAGGATTTATTTTACGTAACAGTTCAGCATTTCCTTTTCTTGATTTTTAACAACCAACGACAGTAAAAAAAAAAAAAAAAAAAACAAGATAAAAACGGTTTCAATTTCGATTTTGAGAAATCATTTTTTAAATTCACTTCGATTAAAAAAAAGTTGAGAGTATGTAATCTCCAGGACAATGATCTGGTCTCAGCTTCACACGTAATAGATAAATGTATATAATTTAAACAACCAAAGTACAGTAACAAAAAAAAAAAAAAAAAACCAAAAAATAAAACAAAACGAATTCCCTCTCTTTCGACTTCAATTTTGAGAAATTATCCAGTTTTATTTATATTGAGGTTAAGCCACTAAAGACCCAAATATCCGAATATATATATATATATATATATATATATATATATATATATATATATATATATATATATATATATATATGGATATTGAGGTTAAAACTGACCGGCGACAGTAAAGTTTTATGCTTAAACGTAATCTTCTAGAAGGCCTGTAGATTGTGTGTAATCCTGAAACAGACTGTCGCCGCTGGATTTTGACTTCAATGTCCACTTTTATATTATATACACTCCATCCCTGATATCGAGATCTAACCAATAAATAGAGAATACCATATATATATATATATATATATATATATATATATATATATGTGTGTGTGTGTGTGTGTGTGTGTGTGTATTTTTATCACACACACACATATATATATAAATGGTTATCGGCACGATTAATGGAATCGAAAGTCCGTGTGTAGATTCTGGTGAATGAATGGAAAAGTGAACAAATTCAAAACGGAAAATGTACTTCTTATTGACTAAATAGACGTATATTTCTTTTCTTGAGGGCAAAGATATTTTAGTTGGTAACAAATGAATAGTATCTTCATATTTCTCAAATATTGATTATTGTTATTATTATTATTATTATTATTATAAAAATTGTTAATATTTTTTATTGCCCCAAGTGCTTTCGGACACTTCTTCAGCTATTTTCAATTAAGTGCTAGTTCCTTTTCATGTTTGTTTAAAAATGTAGTTTTTGTGCTGTTTACATAGAAGTAACGTTTATTCTGAGCCTCGTGACATATATTGGGACAATAGACAATATGGACAATTTCGACACTCCTTTACTCCAGCAAATGCAAAAAAATGTAAAAATATTAGAAAAGCTAAATAATAATAATAATAAAAAATTCCTTGTTTTTCATATTCAACGAGACATGTTTGAAAAAAAGGTTATATATTTCTGTGACGTACTGTGGACGTTAATAATTAAGTATAACTCAAAGCTTCAATGCTAATATAAAACAGTATTTAATTCCAACTGTAAGTAAATACTTAAGAAATACAAAGAAGTAAAATCAACTAAAGATATTTAACTATTTCAGTGAATACCTTGTTAGTAGAGCGGCTCTGCTTAATGTCCGGTAAATTATAAATCAAAACCCAAATCATTGTTGCACAATAATTCACACTAATTCGACTGGATAGGTCCACTCAATAATCACTGCAGTCAGTAGCCTGACACTGCTATTTATACGCCTGGCGGAAATCATATATTCATAAGTCCAGAGTGTCACGTTCGAACCTCGGTGTCGGTAGTTACTCATTTTCTTCCCATATGACACACACACACACACACACACACACACACACACACACACACACACACACACACACACACATATATATATAGTGGTTTTCTAAGCTCGGCTTAGATGTGGCACAAGGCCGAAAGTATGGGGCACCCAGTGAGGATCGAACTCACTACTCAGTCATAATTGATCTAGCAAGACAAGCTTTCTAAGCATTACGCGAGTGGTTCGTAGGTTAATGTAACTTTAATAAATTTGTTTGCGAGGATGTTTTTCGCCATTTATATCATTAACTTTACTAATCTATTTTTTGTATGAATGATTCATGTAACATATATATATATATATAGATATATATATATGCAATTTATTCAGCTATTCGGTTTATTCTTTCATCTGACGATCGCAAAAGCATGAAACCCAAGGCCACAAACTCACATCAATCCAACGATATATATATATATATATATATATATATATATATATATATATATTTAGACAGTAATCCTTCTTTCATGCATATTTCATTGAATACGACAGACAAGGTGCTTTGATTTAGTTCTTTTTACAATTTTTTTATGTGACTTAATAATTATTAATAAAAAAAAATAAGAATAATCGAAACCTTATTAAGAAAAACAAAAAAAACCCAACCCCCCCAAAAAACAGAACCCAATAATATCAGCTATGAACATGGACAGAATATCTTGACCGTGTTTTGAAAATGAAAATATTATATAAATACATACATGAAACAAACGATTTTTGTTAACAGTTAATGTATTTCAACCTTGAAAATGTCTAAATGTATAGCCGAAAGCGATCGGATAAAAAGAACAATTGGACAGTTTTTAAATAATTTATCATCCGAAAAGAAAAAAATATTAGGTCAAATGAGAAATTGTATAAAAAACTAATACAAGGCAGCTTGTCTGTCGTATTCAATAAAATGCTCAACAGTCACACATGCACAACAGATTGGAATATAGATAATTTCGTTTGAAAATTCTTGCCCTGTGATTGTTAGCTCCATATTTATGTGCTGACAAGTCTGGTTCTTCGAAATGCGCGCCGATAAAATCCACTCGTTCGTTGCCAGACAGGCTTAACCAATCCAAAATCATCTGTATTCGTTTTTTAAAGCCAAATTTGCTACAAAAGAAAAAGCAAGAATCGTTGGAATTTTCGAGAATCAAAGATGTCAGAAGGCGGTTAGATCGAAACTAAGCAAAAAAATAACAAAAAAAAAAAAAAAAAATGAGTAAAAACAGAACCTTACCTCTGTGTCTGTTACGTATTTTAAAAAAAAGAAACAATATCTATTTTGTCAGCTAATAATTTTACGTTCATTTTCCCAGGTAGGAGAAGCATAACTCTGGATTCAAAACCTGCGGAGGGTCGTTTGGGGACCTTGTGGCACGTAGTGCACCAGGTCTCTGTATTCGGCCCTTCAAAAAGTGTGAATGGTTCTGTACAAAACCTTCACCACTATAATCAAATCTCATGTACTGGTGTCGGGCAGTCGGTTCCTAGGAATTGAGCTGCTTAACCCTCATACGTCGAATACGACGGTGAGTCGAGTATATATATATATATATATATATATATATATATATATATATATATATATATATATATATATATATATCTCCCCGTATATAAGGAAGCACGTGGAATAGTAGTTAGCGGCTCGCATTGAGGAATGGGAGCCGAGTTCGAATTCCAGTCGAATTCATTATATTCACTTACGTGCTAATAAATGGGGAAGGTATTATTCCTCTTCTCCCTCCAGGTTCTATAGCCTTGGATGGCATTTTTCCAGGTAAAAATTGGCCTAGGAAAATACCTAACACAAATATTGGGTTTTACCAAATATATAATGGCGGTTACAAAAGTCCCTACCGTTGGTGCAGTTATTTATACAAAAATTCAAAACAAAAATGAAGAGTAGCTGGAGAGAGTTCGGAAGAAAACGTAAAAGTTTTTATGCTTTTACAAATGTAACATGCTAACAAAGTTTAAAAATATGTTACATGCCTTCACCCAGGCCCCGAACAAGGAAGGCTTTCGGATATTATAAAAGTCTGTCTTTATTCTCAATTCCACCAGATAATTTTGTAAAAGGCTATACTTTTTCCATGTGGCAAAAAAGCATCCACTAATGCGCTATTCACGGCATCTACCTCAAAACCTTTCTCTCCACCCCAACTGATGCGTCCCTGAGGTAAGGGTCAAATGATCAACCAAACGCAGTGTATATTAACTAGGAAAGAGGAAGGAGAGTTAACCTAACATAAGAAGTACGGGAGTTATAGTCGGAGAAGGGAAAGAGGCAAGAGGTAACAAAATAACACTACCTCAGAAACTACGGCACAGCAACGTCAGGAACAAAAATGCCCACGGGACCGACTTCACAAGACACCGAGTCTCGCCAACTACACACTACAGACTGCTGGTTTTCCCATCGATTTTATTGACAGGAAAAAGTTCAGAGAAATCCGTATCTAGACAAGTTACAGAGAGGCTCATATCTGAACATGCCAAGCTGTTCTCTTGCTAACGGGGAAACCTAGAAGTAACTGGTTTTGTTAGACATGTCCGTACGCGACCCGGAGCATCTTTCGTGTCTGTACTGACGCACGTTCACCATACAAGATCAGTAGTTGTTGATTTAAGGTGAGAAGAGGACATGATCAGTGTTGTCCTAATGTTTTCAAAAGAACAAGAGGCATGCGTCAAGCATTACCTAAATGTTTTTTATTGTACAATAAAGAGCCGATTAAGAAAGTGTTATACTATAGTGGAACACACCTATTCTATAGTTAATAGACTCTCCCACCTATAATAAGTAGCAGTAGTAAGAGTAACAAGTCAGTCGCTAAGTCGCTCAGTGGTTCGGTCTGAGTTCAGTCTGAAGTCAGAAGACCGGCTGACCAGTTGAACTCTCTGCCTTCGGGCGGGGAGGAACCCGAACGAGGCTACACCGAAGGGCGGAGTCTCTTTCGGGGAGGTAAACCGACCCTGAACCTGTTTATACGGGTTTTAAAAGAGCATATTTTCGGAGATCTCACGTTAAACCGGCCTTGTGCCACATGATGCCCTCGTGGGGGGGTGACTAAATACCGTCGCTGAGTCGCTCAGTGAGTTGGTCAGTCAGTCGATGCCGGACGACCGTTAGTCGGATACTAAAGTATCAGCGACCACCACTAGATTTCTCTGTGTCATTACCTATTATATCAAGTTCCTAACGTTTTGTACGTCGAACCTATTTTAGGTTATTTCTGATGTCTTATCAAATGATGGCGTTTCAACACAGTCACTTGATAAGACAGAAGTGCTGAAACAAAATTGCTATTTTTTTGTAGTGATTTTATAACATATTTATGTTATAATTTTCGAATAAATAATTATATATATATATATATATATATATATATATATATATATATATATATATATATATATAAGGAGGTAGTGGATAGCGGTTCGGATTGAGGAATCGGAGCCGAGTTCGAATTCCAGTCGAATGCATTGCATTCACTTACGTGCAAATACGCCTGGGAAAGGCATTAATCATCTTCTTCTCCCTCCAGGTTCTATAGCCTTGGATAGCAACTGGTCTAGGAGAAGAACAACTCTGAATTCAAAACCTGGGGAGGGTCGTTTGGGGACCTTGTGGCATGTAGTGCACCAGGTCTCTGTATTCGGCCCTTCAAAAAATGTGAACAGAGTACTTGACTCTCATACTTCGAATGCGACATATCTACCATATTGGCAATTTTGAGACATTATTTTAAACTGAGGCCTAAAGATGCTGAAAGTTCTCACAGAGTTTGGAAATTGGAAGGAACTGAAACAATATCTTTTAATTTAAACATTTTCAGTCTGTCGACTTGTTACTTGAATTAAAGCTATCATATATATGCTTATCAACTGCCGTTTTAATAAAAATGCCAGGTCGTAGGCGATTATGGCTTTCCATAGATCCCTTTTTCTTTATAAACTGTAATTTGCCATGACTTCTTGGGGAAGATTGGCGTGTGGCGTTCTCGTTGCTTTCTGTTTGAAAGTTTTACAGGTAGCCAACCAAGGTTAAGGAGACTAGTCTGTCTTGGTATTTACCACATAACTGAGAGGGAAGAGATGGATTCATGCCTTTCCTAAGAGTATCTGTGTGAAAGTGGACGCAGACGACTAGACTGGAAATTGAACTTGGGCCGCTGAGTTCACTTTTTCGCACCAGCAACTGTTGCGCTATAAGCACATGCCGCTGTTCATTTTACCGCTCCAAATAGTGATCTCGAGGGGAACCCGCTCACCGTCAATGTCCAGAATGTTGTGGAAGGGCTAGCATCATTAAAAACGTTCCGGAGAAGTTACATAAGGTTTAAAAAATTATTCAGGATCGCTAAAAAATAATTAAAAAAAAAGTCAGAAAACGAAGATACTTTTGATACGCCTCAATAACAGCCACATACCTGCCATCTGGAATCCATTTTGGGTATTTAGAACCTGAAACGAAAATGTGTAACTAATGAGATGGATTGTTCTTTTATTACCCTGAAACTCTAATAGACTTTCAAAATATATTAAAGAAATATAAATTTGAAAAGATGCAACTTAAAAATATACAATGGCCCGTTTAAGCGAAACCCATTGGGAGCAACAGTTTTTGTCCTTCAGTAGTTCCTTTTAAACCGATTTATATAAACAAGACAGTTTGATTTGTTTCCATCCATAGTTGGTCTTGCAATATTTCATCGACATCTATTTAACGATCATCATATTCTCCATTATACGTCACTCAGAAGAAAAGCAGGTGATTTCGATCTACTTACTCTGTTTATTATTTCTCGTAAGAATTCTCTCAAGAAACGATTGATAGATTTATCAGGTAAGCATTTCATGTAATTACATTTAGGTGAGATTATTTTTTTATTTTCCAACATATCAAGAGTCGTTGCGTTAGTTAATGGCGTATAAAAGAGTGAGATCACAAAAATAACAATAAATGAATAGATAAGTAAACATCCGCTCGGTTATATACGAGAATCAAAAAATGTCGATATAGACCTGGTTTTACAAAGTAAAAAGGAAGGCGTAGGTACAGTCTATAAGCTAGTGTCAAACAAGTAAGCGGAGGTTCAGGTTTTAAACAAGTCAAAAAGGTTGACATAGGTTCGATTTTCATTTGAGTCAAAAGGGTTCATAGTAAATCTGATTTTTCATTAGAGTCACAAAAGTCAAAATAGGTCTGGTTTACAATAGGGTAAAAACGTCAACTAGGTCCATTTTTCAATAGAGTCTAAAAGGTCAACATGAGTCTTATTTTCGTTAGAGTTAAAAGGTCGACATGGGTATTATTTTCACTAGAGTCAAAAACGGCAGAATTGATCTGGTTCTCAATAGAGTCAAAAAAGGTCAACATGAGTCTGATTTTTACTTGAAGCGTTCGGTAGACAAGGTCGAATTTACGCTTCTTTGTGGCCGATCGATAAGGCACGTCAGCGTAAATGACGGTTCCGTATAGGATGCAGGTTCGAATCCTGTCAAAGGACGAATATTTTCTATGAAAATTTCTCGGACATTCAGGCCGGTAAATATTATTTAATACTGTTTATTATAAACAGAGCATTTACTTAAATACTTGTATCTATAAAAAGAACGTTAAACATAAAAATGTCTTTAATAAATAAATTGTCGGACTTTGTCCATTTCTTAATTTATATATATATATATATATATATATATGTGTGTGTGTGTGTGTGTGTGTAATTATACCCGAGTAAAGGTGATAATGTCAGTAAGACGCAAGTGGGTTACTGGGAGAGAATGAGAAGAATTTAGTGAAAAGAAAAAGGAATGAAAGAAAAGGATTCAGGAAGATGGCGATTGGCGTTGCATTTAAATATTTAAAGACTGTAAGTGGGAGAATGTTTAAAATCGGTATATATATATATATATATATATATATATATATATATATATATATATATATATAATAAGAGTATTTAAACTAATTAATGGGTAAAAGTACTCAATTTCAGAGATGGAGAGCATGTAAATGTAAAATTGGACACTGATATAAACACCAAGTGGCGACAGTCTGTTTCATTCAGGATGTAATCTATTGTGTTCATGCATGAAACAGAGTGTAACCGCTTGTTGTTGAGCTCAATGTCCAATTTTACATTTACACACAGACACACACACATTATTTCAATTAGGTCCCTCGACTAGTTTCGGCCAGCATGTCCATCATCAGCAGAAAAAAATTCTGCTTGTTAGTAGCAGTGAACTACAGGAATGAATGACTTTCTGAAGAAAATGAACTTTATCTGTAGTTTTCATTTGTTTTTTTTTTATCGTTAATGTTGGTCAGTCCTTGTGTTGGTCAAACGGCATCTTTTAAGTTGTTTTTAAGATAGAGGCTGGATAGATTCATTCGACTCTGAATTCCCTTGGTCATTTTGAAAGTTTTATTGGTTCCTGGGAAGGGGATGTGTTTGTGTTAAGTGCATGTTATCATTTAGTTTTTCGGGAGTGTGTATTATCTGTGTAAATGTATATAGGCGAGTGTATAAGTGTGAGACTTCAACACCTCCGCAAGCATGTCTGTTTTGTGTGGGTGAGAAATATGGGTAGGGCTTGATTTATGGGGTTATAATATTAATTCTATCTATGTTGTTAAATTTGTGATTAATCTCGTCTGGATTGAGTGTTTGGAGGTGCAAAATCCACTTGTTTTCATGGTCTTCTCAAATTTTTCAAATGTTATCTTTTCTGTCCTTTTCTATTTTTTCAATTATAGTGAATTTGGCATGGCCTTTAAAATCATATTTTTTCTACAGGTAATAATCTTATATGGGGAGCCGACTTAATCCGATTACGATAATTATTAATCCTGTAGTGAAAGGGCGATGCAGATTTTCCCACATATTGTTTCTGGAATAAGTCTGCATTCTAACAGGTAAATTATGTTATGACTCCTAAAGTTAGAGTTGTGGTAGATTTAGGGACTGAACTAGTGAATATATATATATATATATATATATATATATATATATATATATATATATGTGTGTGTGTGTGTGTGTGTGTGTGTGTGTACACTATAATAACGGTTGAATTAATAAAAATGTCGGATTAAGTATAAATCCATTGATTCTTTCGAAATTGCTTTGTTTACGTTTCGAATACCAAACTGAGCTGATAAAAGCTTTTGAGAAAATAATTTGAGTGAAGATGTGCTTTCCTTAAAAAGGAAAACAGAACCTTGTTTTACTGTAACGCTCTTTGTGGCCGAGTTGTAAAGCACGCCGAATCTAAACGAAGGAAGATGCAGGTTCGATCCCTGCCTGGGAACAGATTTTCCTTATTAAGATTTCTAGAATATGCAGGCCGATAGACGTTATACAAACTTTAATAATATTAAAATGGGGCGTCTATTTCTAATACGAGTCTCTAGTATAATAAAGTTTGAAGTAATAACATTGTCGGATGAAAAATAAACGCAGTTGTTTTTTTAGGAATATCTATAAAAGCTAATAGTGAAAGACTTTACCATCAATGGAATATTTTAAGCCAGGCCAGCCATAAACAGCAGTGCTTTTATTCTGTTTCTCTGCAGTCACCCAAATCTACAATTAAAGACGCAAATGGAAGTTAATAATAATAATAATAATAATAATAAATAATGAGAAAGCCCTGTGAAAGTTTCACTGTTTTCCTATTTGAATTTTCTGATGAATCTTAATTCTTAATTTAAGGACTGAGTAAGCTCCTGGTGAGTTCTATGACAATGAAATATCCGTAGAAATTCCCCCTATCGCAGCGTTATATATTTGAGCTTCACAACTTTAAGAAAATATTGTAATAACAATCATAAATATGAATATTGATCGTTATTTTAAGAAGTAAGGGGGTACAAATGAAAAGATTTGAAATTGATAACTTTTCTATATTACTGAAACAGTCATTAAACACTTCCATCTATATTTCTTTCTTTCTTTCTTTCATTTTCTCACTGAAACCAAGTAGCGTATGTCTTTTGCTTTTCTAAAACAATCAAAATGGAACAGTCCATTATTTATAAGCTGTTGACAGGCGACGTTAAACACTTCTTTTTTTCTTTATTTGATTCATTCTTTCTTTCATTTTATCACTGAAACCAAGTCGTGTCCTTTTCCCCTCTTTCTACGCGACCATTATTGGCAGGGCGTAACGGTCGTGTGAACTAACGAAGGGTGGAACAAGTACAATTATTTTATGATAATATAGGCATGATGAATTAGTGTCGTTTGCGGTTCCGAATACCATTTTCAACTGTTTATGCATTTTGATATCTATCTCTGCTATAAATTGCTTAGAGTCAGAAAACATAGAAATACACGACAACAACAACAATAAACAAAATCTCCCCCCCTCCCCCCAAAAAAATCATAGTCTTATTCAAAGACAAATAGCGACAGAATTATTGGACATGAGAAATAAAGAATGTCTCCTAAAAACAAAAAGAATAAAAAAGACTATTTCCTGGTAGCTGAACGTTCCTAACTTTTTCCTACAATAAACTAATGATTGCCTCCTAATAAAACAGATTTATACAGATTTTCACGTGCTTTCTCATCTTAATGGAACCCAACTGTGTTGTCAATATAAATGCAAAAGGATGTATATCTATGCTTTATAGATTATGCAAAAGCATTTGATAACGAGCATCACAAGGAACTATTAAAACTGGTGAGTAACCTTGACATATATTTGGGAAAGATAGCCTAATCCAGACCCTATACTGGCAGCATACGCATAGAAAATGAATTCAGTAAATATATAAAAATAGAAAGAGGTGTAAGACAAGGATGTGTCTTCTCACCGGACTTACTCAACCTCGACAGTGAGGTGATTCTGAGAGAATTAGAACTCCTACCAGGATTCATTATTGACAGTCACAGTCTTAGAAACATAAAATATGCAGATGTCACCGTGTTGATAGCAGGCATAGAAAGGAAGCTACAGAAACTCCTTAAGAAAGTATTGAAGGAAAGCGAGAAGAAAGGACTAAGCATCAATTGCAAGAAGACACCAAAAGGAACGATCCAACATTTAAATTACAATTTGAATATACCAAAATCAGACAAATACAACAGTTTAAATATCTGGGAAGTGTTTTAACAGAGGACGGAAAGTGCGACACTGAAATCTGAAGGTGCATTGGGATAGCGAAAGATGCCTTCCAAAAGCTAAGCAAAGTATTAAGAAACAGGAAAATTTTGTTAAAAACAAAAAGAGTTCTGAAATGTTACCTAATATCGGTTCTACTATACGTCAGTGAATACTGAACAATCACATTACAGATGAAGAAGAGATTTGAAGCAACAGAAATGTGTTTCTGCAGAAGCATGCTGAGGATACTATGGACTGAACATGTGGGCTACATCGAAGTTTTAGAGAAAATCGAAACAAAATGGACGCTCATATTCAACACCAAGAAGAGTCAGTTTAAATTTCTAGGGCACATAATGAGGAAAGAGAGCTTGGAAAAGGTGATACGCATAGGGCATATTGAAGGCGACAGGGACAGAGGAAAACAACGCAGAACCTATCGAGCTTGAATAAATGGATGGCGAAACAAGGTTTAGGAGAGATAAAAAAAAAGACCAAATTTATTAAGAGTTAAAAAGGATAGGAAAAACGGACACGGCACATAGAAGACGAAAAAGAACAGTATAGTTAATCTTACTCGTGATCTATTCTTTATTTCTTTCTTTCTTTCTTTCTTTCTTTCATCTTTCTTCTTTTTTCTTTCTTTATTTCTTTCTTTCTTTTTTCTTCTTTCTTTCTGTCTTTCTTCCCAACACAGTTGAGAAAAAAAACAAAAAAAAAACAAAACAAAAAGAAAACCGCAATGTCTTAATCGATTGCTGTGGTAATGATTAACAGAACAGTCATCCTACAAGGATTTCGATTCTCAATATATGTTCAGCATCAACAACGACGATTATTTGGCGGAAGTCGTCGATGAATTTCTCTACCTTGGCAGCACAATCTCGAATTACGTCACCTGCGAGAGAGACCTTGACACGAGGATCAAAGCGGCTCAGACTGCGTACGAAATGCCGGGGTCTTCAGCAATCCCGGGGTCTTCAGCAATCCCGGACTCAGTATAAAAATCATAATCATGGTCTTCCAGTCCGTGGTCATCTCTACTCTTCTATACGCTTGCTAGATCCGGAATTTATATCGTCAAGACATCAAATGTCTGGAGCGTTACCAGCAAACGAAGCTTCGAAGAATCCTTTGTATTAGTTGGGAAGAACGCATCGCCAACAACGGGGTCCTCTTTCTGACATATCTCCCCAGCATCGAGGCCCTCTTTCACCATCGCCTCCTCTGGGCAGATCCAGTATCCAGAATGCGTCAAACTCGACACCCACATATCATCCTGTTTGGAGAATTCACCATCGCCTCCTCTGGGCAGATCCAGTATCCAGAATGCGTCAAACTCGACACCCACATATCATCCTGTTTGGAGAATTCACCATCGCCTCCTCTGGGCAGATCCAGTATCCAGAATGCGTCAAACTCGACTCCCATATCATCCTGTTTGGAGAATTCACCATCGCCTCCTCTGGGCAGATCCAGTATCCAGAATGCGTCAAACTCGACTCCCACATATCATCCTGTTTGGAGAATTCACCATCGCCTCCTCTGGGCAGATCCAGTATCCAGAATGCGTCAAACTCGACACCCACATATCATCCTGTTTGGAGAATTCACCATCGCCTCCTCTGGGCAGATCCAGTATCCAGAATGCGTCAAACTCGACTCCCACATATCATCCTGTTTGGAGAATTCACCATCGCCTCCTCTGGGCAGATCCAGTATCCAGAATGCGTCAAACTCGACTCCCACATATCATCCTGTTTGGAGAATTCACCATCGCCTCCTCTGGGCAGATCCAGTATCCAGAATGCGTCAAACTCGACTCCCCCACATATCATCCTATCATCCTGTTTGGAGAATTCAAACCATCGTTTGGAGAATTCCTCCTCCTCTGGGCAGATCCAGTATCCAGAATGCGTCAAACTCGACACCCACATATCATCCTGTTTGGAGAATTCACCATCGCCTCCTCCAGGCAGATCCAGTATCCAGAATGCGTCAAACTCCAGAATGCGTCAACTCCCACATATCATCCTGTTTGGAGAATTCACCATCGCCTCCTCTGGGCAGATCCAGTATCCAGAATGCGTCAAACTCGACTCCCACATATCATCCTGTTTGGAGAATTCACCATCGCCTCCTCTGGGCAGATCCAGTATCCAGAATGCGTCAAACTCGACACATCCTGTTTGGAGAATTCACCATCCTGCCTCATCCTCCAGTTTGGAAACTCGAATATCATCCATCGCCTCCTCTGGGCAGATCCAGTATCCAGAATGCGTCAAACTCGACTCCCACATATCATCCTGTTTGGAGAATTCACCATCGCCTCCTCTGGGCAGATCCAGTATCCAGAATGCGTCAAACTCGACACCCACATATCATCCTGTTTGGAGAATTCACCATCGCCTCCTCTGGGCAGATCCAGTATCCAGAATGCGTCAAACTCGACTCCCTCGACATATCATCCTGTTTGGAGAATTCACCATCCTCTGGGGCAGATCCAGCCAGAATCCTCTATCATCCTGTTTGGCAGATCCAGTATCCAGAATGCGTCAAACTCGACTCCCACATATCATCCTGTTTGGAGAATTCACCATCGCCTCCTCTGGCAGATCCAGGCAGATCCAGTATCCAGAATGCGTCAAACTCGAATGCGTCAAACCTCCCACATATCATCCTGTTTGGAGAATTCACCATCGCCTCCTCTGGGCAGATCCAGTATCCAGAATGCGTCAAACTCGACTCCCACATATCATCCTGTTTGGAGAATTCACCATCGCCTCCTCTGGGCAGATCCAGTATCCAGAATGCGTCAAACTCGACTCCCACATATATCATCCTGTTTGGAGAATTCACCATCGCCTCCCTCTGGGCAGATCCAGTATCCAGAATGCGTCAAACTCGACTCCCACATATCATCCTGTTTGGAGAATTCACCATCGCCTCCTCTGGGCAGATCCAGTATCCAGAATGCGTCAAACTCGACTCCCACATATCATCCTGTTTGGAGAATTCACCATCGCCTCCTCTGGGCAGATCCAGTATCCAGAATGCGTCAAACTCGACTCCCACATATCATCCTGTTTGGAGAATTCACCATCGCCCTCCTCTGGGCAGATCCAGTATCCCTGTTTGGAGATATCATCCTGTTTGGAGAATTCCATCGCCTCCTCTGGGCAGATCCAGTATCCAGAATGCGTCAAACTCGACTCCCACATATCATCCTGTTTGGAGAATTCACCATCGCCTCCTCTGGGCAGATCCAGTATCCAGAATGCGTCAAACTCGACGTCTGTTTGAGAATTCACCATCGCCCTCTGGGCAGATCCAGTATCCAGAATGCGTCAAACTCGATCCACATATCCCTGTTTGGAGAATTCACCATCGCCCTCCTCTGGGCAAACCAGAATGCGTCAAACTCGACCCCCACATATCATCCTGTTTGGAGAATTCACCATCGCCTCCTCTGGGC